CAAAATAAGGCAGTTTGGAGATTGCGTAATACGAAAGCGGAGTTAACAAATTTAACAAGTTGATAAATTGAACCTACAGGTCAAAACAGGATACACGTGATTACAGTCTGGGCTCAGCAAAGACACCCTGATGAATCTACCATCCAAGGCATCAGGCTATCACCAGCATACTGTTATTATTAAAAAGCATTTTCCAAAACGCTAAAATGCCTGCAGAGATGCAAATGAGGAAAGGTGGCAAAACTACCAAGACCAGGAGCATGGTTCCTTCCAACCTTAACAAAAGGATCCGAGTCACGAGGTCAAGGGGTAAAATCATTACCCACACTCAATTGTTCAATAGGCCATGTCAGAAATCAGCAAGTAGCTACAAAAATCAGAACTAAGGAAAAGATTCCCTCTGCAGCTCCTTCTCTTCAGCTCTTCCAGCCAACTGAAGGTGTTGTCTACCTTAAAAAAAATTAGCATGGACCTTCCCAAAACAACCCTTGTTTTTGGAAGCATATTTTCAGACTGAAAAGTTGCAACAAATGTTCTCTCAACCCCTTATTTTCTAGAGGAAAGAAGAAATGTGTTTCTCTATTCTGACCACACACTCCACACCCAGACCAACAAAGTTAAATCAGTTTGGAAAAGCAAAATATTGATAAGAATTAGGCATGTCTCTAGATGTCCTAGATAAAAATGACAAAACAATTATCTGCTGGTGAACTCAAACTTTGTAGGGGTTTTCTTTCTTGGAAGAGAAGGAAAAACAAGTCTACTCCTTTCTATTTTAGCCAAATGAGCAAACAGAGTGGCACAGCAAGCAAGAGGAGATGGCAATCTGCAATGGGAGAGGTTCAGAGCGCCACGTGATAAATTAGAGTGACTACAAGCAAACCCCCAAAGCTCTAAAAAAAAGCATGAAGTATCTTACAGATTTTGGTTGGTACTGTAAGTCCTGAAGCCACCAGAATTTAGATACAGCCCATCCTTATCTTGGCTCCAGACTTCAGCATCACCACCTGGTTTTGGCTCCGAGCGTCAGAAGCCTGAGCCTCCCCCCAGCACTCGGGCACTTCAAGGCGCAGAAGAGGGAGAGGCAGAACACCCATTCAATAGCACTGCATCCAAATTTAGTCTTTAACATTCCTGCACAACTTAAGTGGACAAGACAGCAAGTTTGCTGCTTTCAGTACGTCGTGTGTGAACTACAGATGTAGCACTTTCAAATTTTCAGCAGGGCATTAAGAGTCGTCGGTGTGTTTCACCAGAAAACAATATACAGATGTTATGATAAATACATGTTCTTATCCCAGTAAAATGATTTTTCTTAGAAAGTCATCACAATTAAGCATTTCTCTCCCACTGCATCTTACAGTTCTATGGGCTCGCTGCCTACTAAAATGATATTTAAAATACCAGTATTTAGCCAACCTATACCAGGGCAAGTCTTTGCAATGAAAGGAAAGAATCCAAAGTCACCAGTGCAAACTTAAGGTACACACGTTCTTCTTTAGAAAAGGGTCCTTTCAAATAAAAAATATTCACCTGTTGAGTTTCTCAAATTCTCAAGTAACTCATTTTGTCAATGGCCTCCAAATATTTATGTTCAAATAAATATATGTTTTGAAATATACAGATGTTCATAAACTTTCTCAACTATCAAAAGGTGCACTGCAGCTTCAGTAGATGTCACGTAAAAATTTGCAAAGGGCAGGATATGGACAGAGACAGCAGCTGAAAAGCTCGGAGACCCCCGTCACAGCTCTAATACCAGGGTTTCAGCTGCTCTCACAACTTCTGTCCACAGCACATTGTGTGTGGACGTTTGGCCATAAAGGCTGCCTCTCATTGGGAATTTATCAACTTCAGCATGTTTGTAAAACATTAGGAACCACCAGAGACCATGAGCTGCCAACTGCCACATGCTCCGGTCCTTAAACGCAGGGTTTGTAGGAGAGGTGCTTTGAACCTCCACAGCTGGCATTAGCTGTTCATTCAGCTCCAGAAAAGTACCGTTTTCCACCACCCCTTCCAACTGCCGTAAATCCACAAGCGTGTCCGTCAGCAGTAGCAACCAAGAATTTCAACTGAACGCTCTGTGTTGAGCGGCCAGTAAAAATTACATCCTCTCAGATGAATCATAACCCCGGAGTGAGCCCCTCCACTCCTGCTCACCAGGAAATCCTGCTGCATCACGGGTTGGCTTGCCGTTTCAAAAAACCTCTGTAGCCCCTACATGTGCTTTCTCGGGCCGTCCACCAAAAATTCATCCCAGTTGAGTCAGAAAGGAAGGAAGAAAGAATAAACCAGCCTCTAGTTCCATCAAAGCAAGAGCTTCTTCCCATAGTCTGGATGCCTTCTGACAGACTATCTAAACCTATCTACTGCTTTCTGGCCCAGTGATTTCTTCGTGGATTGATGGATTATACTGTAGAAAAGCTCATTGAACGACCTTGCTATCTACAGATGAACCAAAAAAACCTCACTAGACAAGGCAAAAGTGCTTTGGATCCAGAAAATCTGGACTAATCCTCCTCCTGTACCACCCCTATCACAAGTGTAATAACATGGAAAAGTTAAGCAAGTCTTAAGATATCCGAATCCAGATATTAATGCCATCCATCACGCCAAGCACAGGACACAATTTAAGAACAGTTGCGACAGCGGTGTTAGCTGGAGAAGGCTCTCCATTACCCAACAACTTAATAAATGCTATTACTGGGCTAACTCTATAGAGCTACAAGTACCACAAAATTGTGTGGAACACAACTGAAATAATAAATACTTATAAAGCAGCTCAATTTTGTTTAATTAAACTCACACCGCCTTACCAGAAACTAAGCTTTTTGACACTGATAGTGGCAGTCACATCCCTTTAAGTTGCTCTATGGATACTACAGCCACCTTCCTTCTCCCGAATCACGCTTCATCCCAACCACCCACCGCTCCCCACACCGGGGAGACACAGAAAGCCCAGTGTGGCTGCCCTTATCACCAAGCCACCAGTGCCCATGGCAGAACTCTTCCTACCAAGCAGAACCCTTCTTATTTTTGCCGTCCCGACATTTCCAGACCCCAGTTTGGCCATTTCTGCCTCATCCCACCACCGGCCAGAAGGCATTGACCATAACACGGCTTCTCTCCGGAGCCACGCTTCCACCTCCAAGGCCACCAGCAGGTCCAACCCCACCACCCCTGCTTCTCCCACCCCAAAGGTGGGGGAGACACCACCTCTCCCTGACAGGCCTCCGTCCCCGTCCCCCCTCTCCACAGGCCGAGGAGGGGCCTCTCCCCCCCAGGCCAGGCCAGGCGGGCCGCCCGCCCCACCGCTGTCCCCTCACCCGGGGGCCACCGCACCACCAACTCGGGGATAAGCACTAGGAGCAGGGGGACAAGGGGCTGCAGCCCCCACCACCAACACCACCGACAACAACCCTGGACCCCAGCCAGACCCGGCGGGGGCCCCGGGCGCTCGGACCGCCCTCCCCCAGGGCCGGGCCCAGGCGGCGGGTCGGGTCGGGTCGGGTTGGGTCTGGCCGGGCCGAACAGGGCTCCCCCC